ACTTGCATTTTCCATTTGTCAGATCAATATGTAATTAAGATTTTAACTGTGGCTTTTCAATTTTCTATCTATGCAATGTGCAATGTTGATGGAAAACAAACAAAAACAAAAAAAAAGTCAAAGCATTTGAGAGAGGAGTGGGGATTTAAACACCGGGGTCAACTTGCATCTGATTTGTCAACTTGCTCATGGTCACACCTGTTTTCAAGAAATGCTGATGTTGCATGTACTGTTTACCAAGTTTGCCACCCTCATTTCAGCTTTCCAGCACGCTAACACTGGCTAATTATCACAAAGCACAGCTGAGTCAAATAGGAAATGTGTTTAGTTTTCAGGTCACAAAAAGTAGTGGACAGATGAAAAGTTTGGTCTGATAATGATGCTACATAATACGTCTTGGATTCATACTGTGGTGACAATGAATGTCTGTGCAAACATTTCCAGAGATGGATGAAACACTGCAGATGACAGGGCCAACTTAAGAGTCTACAATATATTCTCATCACTAAAAAAGGGAAGCTGACCAGTAGTGTTCAAAAAACATGGTGTGTCGACTTTAATACAGGAAGTCAAGTGTGGGTGCAGAATAAAGTTAATGGGAAAGCTTGTTATATAGTATAACCCTAAAATATTCTTCTGTTTTAGTCACTCCTGTGGTTTGATAATATGCACAAACTAGATGTATTATAAAGAAGTACTGTTCATTTATTTAAAAATCTAATTTGCTTGAAGGCAAAACCAGCTATACTGTATATACTAGGCCAAAGAGAGAAACTCAGTGGAATAAAGAAAGAAAAAAAGGTCTCAGTGATGATGATGATCATCAGGTAGCATCAGTCAGTGGTATCAAAACAAATGGTATTCATTCCTGGAATACACTATTGATAATAGCTGCTTTTTACTGCAGTATTCACTGGGTGAATAGTAGGAGGAGAAGAGTAGCTAAGATGAGGGAGGAGAGGGTCCATGACTGGGGCATTAGAGCAGGATTTGGGGAGAGACAGTAGGCCCTGAGGGCAAGTGCTTGTTCTACTGTCTCCTATGGAAGCAGAATCAGCTTTAATGTAATAAAAGCAACAACAACTTTCTCTCACTCACACATACATGCACAAAAAGCTGTTTTGTCACCCACCAGATCCACCAAATGCATCAGCAGCAGGGCCAGCGGCCACGACAGCAGGACCATCTCCTGGGGAAGGCGCAAACGCATCTAGGGTATTGCAGACGAAAACAGCCAGAACGCAAACACAAAACATAACACCGGGCCGACACACCGACAGACACATGGATGTAAAGAACAGAAGATGAATAAACAGATGAAATGGACAGGAAAGGAAACAAAAATAGGAGATCAGAATCAGAGAAAAGCAGAGAATACAAGAAATATGCAGCCCGGTTACTGTAGTGATCGATCTGATTGTACCATCGGTCACGTAACTGGCTTCGGAGGGCTGCATAATGCTGCATTCAGTGAGTGCACTGCCCATGCAGGCTTGTGAAATGAGGCCAGTTGTCACAAGTTATTTGTACTCTGTGACAAGAGCAAAATGTCACATTTAGGGATGGAGGACACAAAGTCTCTCTTTGACAAAGGTAGCTGCTGTTCAGTAGGCATGAGCTGCTTGTGGAATGTTAGGTCTGGGGTTAAAGTCAAAAAGCCAAAATATCATTAAAACAAATGAAGCTTCTCACCAGCTTGGCATATTTATAAAACTGCTATGAAGCCATTAGGGAGAAACTCATTAAGGGCGATCGACAAAAACAGCAGAAAGTAGCAAAACCTATAATTATGAGTCACGACAGCAGTGGGTTTACTGAGGTGCACAAGGATATGACAAAACAATGACTTTTTAAAACATGTTGATATCAGCACATTAGGTATAGGGCTTCCACTATACTGCTCATATTTGTGCCACATATGATAAAGGTTTTGCTCTGTGCTCACAGCAAAACTAGGAAAAGGTCTGATATTATGTCAGCACAATAGTGAGCAAATAGAAGAAACAACAAAAAAAAATTGAAAATCAATAGAAAAAGAATAGAGAAGCCTAACATTTGAGTCACAGCACTAAGAACCTGATTTTCCTCAGTTCCACTAGTTTTGATTTTCATACAGAATTTCATACAGTTACCTGTCACAACTTAAGAAAAGGGTAAAAAAAAAAATCTCAACTAGGTTTCTACTGATTGAACTCTTATGTTGAATCAATGATTCTGCTCAGTGTTTAGATATCACATAAATGAAGCTTATGTACATCACTCAAACATGTCATCTGATTGGATGAAAACCTGCAGAATTTTTGTGGTTTTAGGATGCAGCACTCCCCATGAATATATTAGTGGTTATAATGCATAATTTAGGGAGTGATGTTGGCATCCCAGGCGTCTATATACAAGCTTTATACCAACGGAAACCTAACCGTAACTTCCTAAATGATGACGGGGCTTATTGTAGACAAGCAGGCAGGCCACCATGTTGTGTGTCCTAGTCTACAGTATATCCTATCCTCTGACCACACTGACCTCCGAAAAGGTCGATGTCTGTGGCTGAGGTGGTGGCGGGAGCTGAGACGGGCAGGGAGGCGGGCA